GTTATAGAAAACATTTTTTATTTTTATCAGTGATCACCCTTCACAAAGCTTCTATTGGTTGCTAGGTGATAGGTAAATACTACTGATGAACGTTCTGTTACTGTCGTTAAGTTGGAATTATTAAGAGACCATATCTAGTTCACTTTTCCCTTTTAGAAAATAATCCATAATCAATGTTGATTAAAAACTGCATGAATTCATCAGTTTCACCAGTTAATTTCAGAGCATTAAACAATTAGTTAATATCATGTTTAGGTATTTAAATAAATACATGGGTACTTTCTCAAAAACAGAACTTTGCATGCCTTCCAACAGTGAGGACATGAAAAGCAGAACAGGGTAGGAGGGGGTGAAGTGGAGCAGATGGGCATGCCCTCCCAGAAAAAGTGGTGGACCTTCCCGCTAAACACTGATGGGGCCTGTCTAGCAGCCCCCAAGCTGTAGGACCTTGCAAGAGAGAGCTGGTGAAACACTCTATGCAGGGTCCTAATGCTTGTATACAGTATTTATAAAGAGACCACTGAAAAAAAACAAAGTTAAGGAGTTTATTAACTAAACAGTGATTTGTAGTTACTCAAAAACTGAATTGCAAATAAATTAACAAAAAAAGTCTGATTTAGAAAAATTCTCCAACTCAGCTATAGTTTGTCTATATTCTTCCAAACTTAAAGGGATACTAATCGACAAACTGACTTTAGCTTAATGGAGCAGTTTTTATGTAAAGATCATGCTCCTGCAGTGTCACTGCTCAATTCTTTGCCATTCAGTAGTTAAATCACTGTTTATGCAGCCCTAGTCACACCTCCCTGCATGTGACTTGCACAGCCTTTCCAAACACTTCCTGTAAAGTGAGATTGAATGTTTAAAAGTCCCTTATTGCACATTCTGTTTGATTTAGATTGTCTTACCATCTGCTCTGTTGATATCCTTCTAGACCCTGCAGTAGCCTCATGTGGGTGATCAAAGTTCAACTTACAGAGCAACAGATAAAAACATCTAAAGCAAATTAACATCTGATTGAAAATGGACCCTTACTTCATGCAGGCCATGTCAATCAAAGCCAAGGGCAGTGTGGTTGAGGCTGCATAAACAGAAATAAAAGTTATTCAACACCTAAATGGCAGATAATTGAGCAATGAGGCTGAAAACGCATAATCTATACACACAAACTGCTTCATTAAACTAAAGTTGTTTTGGTTGCTATACCCGGAGTCCTGTATCTGAGTGGCAGTATCCAGGGGAATCTCCCAAGCCCCCATATCATCAGGGGAGGCACCATTAAAGCCTGAATCATTCAAGATCCTGTGAGTGCATTTCAAAGTGTGCAGTGTGAAAATTGTATAACAGTATTACACTATATTTTTTTGTATATTTTTATTTAATCAGCCGGTTCCCTCGTTGTGTATGTATATATATTCTTGTGGTTAAGTAGATTGCTAGCTGGGAGCGATCTGAGGGAGGCTGTATTCACCAATATTGATAAGTATCCTTATATATAAGTATTATTGTATAAGGTACATTTCTTTGGGTTTTTTTTGGTTGCTATAGTGTCTCTTTAAGTGAGTTTTCAGTAATCTGTTTAGTGAACAAAACCTTATATGTGCTATTTAAAAGCATTTCAAAATGCATGATTTACTCTAGGAAACTTTTCTTCCAGAAAATCTAGAGTTCGTTAGGAAGGAAAAGAGATGAGAGATTCTGAGGGTTATAAAAAGGTCAGAAGCCTCTATAGCTCCAATGTCTTTTAAATTTCAATCCTCCTTATTCTTATCAGCAAACAGCTAGTTATCAATAAAAAGTTAAAGGAACACTATGGTGTCAGGGACACAAACATGTATTCCAAAGATGTTAAACCCACTATTTAGGTCCCTGCCTCCTCTGTCAGAGCAGTGAAAAGGTGTTTAAACTCAGCTTTTATCCCATGCCACGACCATCTCACCACAGTTCGCCTCACCTGACTCCACCTCCAAGGCTTGATGATCTCAGTTAATCCAATGCTTTCCCATAGGAAAGCTTTGGGAGGCTATTGCACATGCATGAATCAATCAATCAGCATGGAGATGCTTAATACCAGTGCTGCACACTGTGCAGCGTTGACACAGGAAGCACCTCTAGTGGCCATCTAAATGACCACTACTAGCAATGCAAACACTGCCTTTTCACTGATAAGGCAGTATTTATATTAAAAATCCAGCTGGGTTATGCTATAAACACCAGAACCAGTGACTATAGTGTCCCTTTTAGGAATAGATTTATTGATGAACAAAAACATTTCACAAAATCTGTAAACTATAAATGAGCCACGCTGAAACAAAAGCATAGAGGTATTATATAAACCACCTTGAGAATCCCAGACCCACCCTGTAAATGGTCTTTACTTCTCTGACCAATGTGTTTGTAGATGGACATTTTGTACCACTTAAGATTCACAATGTTTCGTCTGGAAATATAAATATATTAGGTGAATGTTTTGTGAATTCCGCTGCACAGGTGGCTGGAGTAATTCTGATACAATGTATAATCACCCATTATTACAGAGAGAAATGATTCCCAGGCAGAAGTGATCTTTCTAACAATGTGTTAGAGGCTGTCTGCAGGGAATCACGGGTCCATTATTTTATTATTTCTTTGGATTTTATGATGTGCAAAAGAACATTAGCCATCCTCAGTATTAAAGGACACGTGCATGTAAAGGAAGAAAATAATATTTATGTATTTTTTATTACGTATAAATATATATATAGATATACTATATAAAATGGATTGTTTTATTATTTTAATGTGGGAAAACAAGGTATTGTGTTCCTTCTCGTTAAAATTCATTGTTGTCAATAAGAGTTAAACAGTAACAAATTACTCCTCCTTTAGAAAGACCTGCAAAATAGTTACAGTTTTAATGAGGGTTAGTGTTCACATCTGTGCAAGTGCTAGGACTCTAGACATAGACACAAAGTTTACAAGAAAGGATTCCGAACCAATCTGAGCGTTCAGTGACAGGTGGAACCTGGAAAGACAAAATGGAAATCGAGATAAGTAAAAATAAATAAATGTCTCTTTAATGAGACAACTTCAAATCGTGGCAGTATTTGCTCCAGAGATTACTTCTAACCTACTCCACTTTGATGCTTCTTCAATTCTAGACTTTCTGTCCAGAATATCGACTACTCAAGCATTGGCAGTGGCTGCAGTGTGGCCTCTTTCACACCATGCTCGACCGGGAAGCCTACATGGCAACTGCTCAATAACTATAAATAAAATTGAGAGGGAAATAATATGTAAGACGTATACAAATTTATTGTTTTAATTTAGTCTCCTCTTAAAAGAATAACATCAAGGTTCAACTTAATGGCTAACATAAAACATGATAATGTCAGCTGTGTTTAATTCCCTTATTAACTCTGTGATAGCTGATAATTGTTTTCTGTATTTTCTAGACTTAGCAATGGTAGAATAATAAAATAATTATTATTTTTGGCCTTTATACAGCACCAACTTATTCCACAGTGCTTTACAATATTTTAAAGGGCAACGTTTAACAATAACTGAGACAATTACAATATGTTAATATGATGAGGACCCTCCTCGAAAGAGCTTACAATCTAGAGGAGGTGGGGTATAAAAACACAACAAGAAGGGCATCGAAGGAGATAGCAACTAAAGGTGAGAGTAGAGTGCTGCCCTTTAGCTCAAGGGACAGGTTAGTGATGTAGAAGTTACTCTGGAAGGCCATAAGCTTTCCTGAAGAGAGGGGTTTTAAGGGACTTCTTAAATGATCAAAGACTAGGGGAGAGTCTGATGGAGGTAGGCAGGCTATTCCCAAAGGAAAGGAGCTGCCCGTGAGAAATCCTGCAAGTGTGAGTTAGCAGTAAGGATGCGAGCAGCGGACACGAGAAGGTCACCGTCAGAGCAGGGAGACCGAGAGGGGGCATACCTACAAATCTGTGAATACATGTAACAGGGGCTAGAGTTGTTAAAAGCTTGATAGGTAAGGGTTAGTATTTTAAATTGACTCCTATAGGATACCGGAAGCCAATGTAAGGACTGACAGAGGGGTGAGGTGTGAGAGGAGCAATTGGAAAGAAAAATCAGCCTGGTGGCAGAATTCACTACAAACTGTAAAGAGGCCGTACAGTTTCTGGGGAGACCAATTAGGAGAGAAATACATTAATGAATGCAAGAGATTACTAGAGCATGAACAAGCTTGTGTAAGAAAGGGGTGGACAAAGGCAATGTTTTTACTGTGGAAATGGCAGGATTTTGCAACAAACTGGACATAAGGTACAAAGGTACAAAGGTGAGGACAGGATCAAAGATAACAGCAAACCGTGAGCGTACAAGGATCGGCCAATCAACTTGCGAGGATGGGCTAATGTGGTTACCATCAACTTGCAGAGAGAGCGAAAGAGGAGGTTTGTGAGAAGGAAAAATAAAAAGCTCAGTTTTAGAAAGATTCAATTTCAGAAAACAGGAGGATATCAGGTGAGAAGAGATATATCTGGGTACATCATCGGCGTTCAAGTGGTAGCGGAATCCAAAGGAATTACCATGTTTTTCAAGAGAGACAGTATAGAGAGAAAACAAAAGGGGACCACGAACAGAGCCATCATAGGAAGGGCTTGCTCTGTGTATGCTATGACCAACAGACAGACAGAGAGACGGACAGAATGAATTATCTGCATGTCCCCCATTGGCTTATTTTATAAAACTTTTATAAATCACATTGGTAACTCCAATGCTTTAGAACACCACTGCTGGGGTTTGAGGAGAAATCAGCACTTTTATTTCCCTTAGCAACATAATGTGGCTGCCAAGCAGACTGTCTGAAAGGATTCCTGTTTCACTTGGAGTGAATGCTTCTCATAGACAAGCACTGGTTTGAATGTTTTCCTATGAAAAACATTGTTTGCAGCTATTGCCATGCATGTGCTATGTGTCCCAATCGTTCTCTATGAAAACCAGCTTGTTTGGCTGGTCACTTAGCAACCACGTTACACTGCGCCATGGGTGTAGGAACTGGGGGGATGGAGGGGATGCATCCCCCTCAGGAAATCATGCTGGGGGACAGGTAATGGAGAAATCCCCCCCAGTTAAATTTGGCATATATCATTTTGCTGGCTCAGAAGAAATAGAAGGGAAGAAAAAGAAGGAAGGAGACTAGCTGAAAGAAAGGTAAGGAGTGCAGAGCAGAAGGAGAGCAAAAGGAATAGGGAAATGAGGGGAAAGCAGAAGGAGAGTAAAAGAAAAGGAGGGGAAAGCAGAAGGAGAGGAAAGGAAAAAGAGGGGAAAGCAGAAGAAGAACAAAAGAAAAGGAGGAGAAAGGAGGAGAAAGCAGTAGGAGAGCAAAAGAAAATGAGGGGAAAGCAGAAGAAGAGCAAAAGAAAAGGAGGGGAAAGCAGAAGGAGAGCAAAGAAAAAGGAGGGGAAAGCAGAAGGAGAGCAAAGGAAAAAAAGGGGAAAGCAGAAGAAAAACAAAAGAAAAGGAGGGAAAAGCAGAAGGAGAACAAAAGAAAGGGAGGGGAAAGCAGAAGGAGAGCAAAGGAAAAAAAAGGGAAAGCAGAAGAAAAACAAAAGAAAAGGAGGGAAAAGCAGAAGGAGAGCAAAAGAAAAGGAGGGGGAAAGCAGTAGGAAAGATCAGATCAGATGGAAAAGAGAGGAGAGCAGGAGTCAAGGAGGAGAAGACCGTGTCAGAAGAAGGCAAAGAAAAGGAGATTTGAACAGAAAGGACAACGTGGATGACAAGTGATCCCTCCACTTTATCCTGGACACTGGGCTGAGGCTTTGGTACCTGACGGGCAGACGGGTTGGTACATTTTTTGTTAATTTTCTCATATAACTGTACACTATCATTGTGAAAAGAGATTGGAGAGGGCGAGGAAATGACATTTATTTTTAGTACATTAATTCCTAATGGCTTAAACCAGGATTTTGAGCTTTTACATGTTTTTAAAATAAAAATGTTTACAATAGATTTTTTATTTTTTTTAGGAACATAAAGAGCAATAGGGGTGTTCTTTTAAAAAAATAAGATTGTTCAGTTTTAGTTTCTGTTATTTTTTGTATAATGACCTGTGTAATCTTGATCATTTTAGCCTCTTAGTCTTGTAATTAGAAATTACAATTACAATAAAGGAGTGGTTCTGCAGGTGGTGACCACAGACCACTTCTCAGTTCCGATGCTTCCTGGCTGATGTTTTGGTCACTTTTGAATGCCGGGGGTGCTTTCACTCTAGTGGTAGCATGAGATGGAGTCTACAACCCACACAAGTGGCTCAGGTAGTGCAGCTCATCCAGGATGGCACATCAATGCGAGCTGTGGCAAGTAGGTTTGCTGTGTCTGTCAGCGTAGTGTCCAGAGCATGGAGGCGCTACCAGGAGACAGGCCAGTACATCAGGAGATGTGGAGGAGGCCGTAGGAGGGCAACAACCCAGCAGCAGGACCGCTACCTCCGCCTTTGTGCAAAGAGGAACAGGAGGAGCACTGCCAGAGCCCTGCAAAATGACCTCCAGCAGGCCACAAATGTGCATGTGTCTGCTCAAACAGTCAGAAACAGACTCCATGAGGGCCCGACGTCCACAAGTGGGGGTTGTGCTTACAGCCCAACACCGTGCAGGATGTTTGGCATTTGCCAGAGAACACCAAGATTGGCAAAGTCGCCACTGGCACCCTGTGCTCTTCACAGATAAAAGCAGGTTCACACTGAGCACATGTGACAGACGTGACAGAGTCTGGAGACGCCGTGGAGAACATTCTGCTGCCTGTAACATCCTCCAGCATGACTGGTTTGGCAGTGGGTCAGTAATGGTGTGGGGTGGCATTCCTTTGGGTAGCCTCACAGCCCTCCATGTGCTAACCAGAGGTAGCCTGACTGCCATTAGGTACCGAGATGAGATCCTCAGACCCCTTGTGAGACCATATGCTGGTGCGGTTGGCCCTGGGTTCCTCCTAATGCAAGACAATGCTAGACCTCATGTGTGCTGGAGTATGTCAGCAGTTCCTGCAAGACGAAGGCATTGATGCTATGGACTGGCCCGCCCATTCCCCAGACCTGAATCCAATTGAGCACATCTGGGACATCATGTCTCGCTCCATCCACCAACGTCACATTGCACCACAGACTGTCCAGGAGTTGGCAGATGCTTTAGTCCAGGTCTGGGAGGAGATCCCTCATGAGACCATCCGCCACCTCATCAGGAGCATGCACAGGCATTGTATGGAGGTCATACAGGCACGTGGAGGCCACACACAATACTGAGCCTCATTTTGACTTGTTTTAAGGATAGTACATCAAGTTGGATCAGCCCCTTTGTGTGTTTTTCCACTTTCATTTTGACTCCAAATCCAGAACTCCATGGGTTGAAAAATTTGATTTCCATTTTTTAATTTTTGTGTGATTTTGTTGTCAGCACATTCAACTATGTAAAGAACAAAGTATTTCAGAATAATATTTAATTCATTCAGATCTAGGATGTATTTTTGTGTTCCCTTTATTTTTTTGAGCAGTGTATATATATATATATATATATATATATGTTCTGTAACTACTTACTAGGCATTGTATTTTTGTTCTTTTTTTAAGCACAATAGCGTTCTCTGGAAAGTTTGTTTTGCTTTTTTGTGCACAGTCGCGCTCCATAGAAGGGCTTTGGAATCAGGAAGTTTATGGTGAAATGCATATTGCGTTTCCTAAGTGCTCCATAAGTGGAACGAGAGCAGGAGGCGGAAATCAACATACATGTCGCAGAAAGTGACACAAATACAGATTGAGTAAAATGCAAGGTGTGTTCCACTGAGACACAAGGAACTGACGCCATAGAGAGACGATGCGTTATGCCCGGGTGGAACGCAATTGGCATTCCCCCTTTTCACAGAGCCATGAAAATAGATTGAGAGCACTATAAAGGGCGTTTCAGGAATTTAGCGCTTTATGACCAACCGAGGAAGCCAACGGTTTGGTGAAACGCGTTTTGGTATTGGACAAAATTTGTATTGGACTTTTTTATTGGATATTGAGTTTATGTGTTTCTTTTATTTTTATCTATCTCAATACATCTTTGGTGTGGACCAACAATACCTGCATGTATGGTACGTATACTACAACTCCACTTTGATTACAAACAGCCTACTGAAGAGAGGTTTAGATCCCTCAAAGGATCCTAAGGCATATTTCTCTAGAACCTAGTGGTTTGAGGCTCTATATGTGTGAGTGCTTTTCAATCATATGCTATAAACTGTATGAGTTAAAGTTTATCTGCACTATTATGGTTTTTTTTCTATTTCCCTACAGAGTTGTTAAAGTTAACTTGAGGAAAGTATTGTCAGGATCGTGACAGGGATCCAACACGCAGAATACAAACAGGGGATAGGTACGTATACCGGACCTTAGAATGGCCGGACTAACGTAAGGAGAAAGTAAAAGAATAGTCAGAGACAAGCCGAGGTCGAGGGAACGAGAGATCAGGTAAGCGAGAGACAAGCCGAGTCAAAAGGACAAGAGAGGAAAGCAGGGTCAAAATACAAGCCGAGTCAGGAACCAAAAGACAATAGAGGTAATTGCACTGAGTGACCAGACTAGCTAGAACCACGACAGGGCAATGAATCATTCCACAGAACCCTTTTTTATACCTTGGCTCTTTAACTGTTGGCTCCGCCCCCAACGGGTCCTGATTGGTTGTTCGGCACTTGGTTGCCGTGATTGACGGGTCGGAACGTGATTGCCGTCATGACGTCGGCTACTGAGCGCCGCGTCATAAAAGGAGGCGGAGCTATCGCGGCCGGCGTGTAAACGACCGGGAGGAGTGCAAGGATCGGGTGAGTCAGCCCCCCTGGGAGGATGGACGTCTAGGTGTCTAACCTCCTCCGAGGTAGACACCAAAGGTACCCTGACAGTACCCCCCCTCTCAGAAACGCCCACCGGGCGGAAGGAACCGGGGCGGGACGGAAAACGAGCATGAAATGCCCGGAGGAGACGAGGGGCATGCACATTTTCATGGACCACCCAAGACCTTTCTTCAGGCCCATACCCCTTCCAGTCAACAAGATATTGCAACTTCCCCCGAGAAATACGAGAATCGAGAATGGATTTGATTTCATATTCCTCCTGACCCTCAACCTGGACAGCGAGAGGGGAGGACTCAGGGGAGGAAAATCTGTTGCAAACCAAAGGCTTCAACAAAGAAACATGAAAAGAGTTAGGGATGCGCAGGGCAGGCGGAAGGGCAAGACGATATGCAACCGGGTTAATCCGACACAGAACCTTGTAAGGGCCTATGTAACGAGGAGCAAATTTCATGGAAGGAACCTTCAAGCGGATGTTTCTGGTACTCAACCACACCCTATCACCCGGGGCAAAAACCGGAGCCACCCGTCTCCGTTTGTCAGCGTGTCGTTTGAACACCATGGAATTATGAAGAAGAATTCGTCGAGTCTGATCCCACAACTTTCTCAGATTGGCGACATGAACATCAACCGACGGAACCCCTTGGGAAGGGGAAACCGACGGAAGAATGGAAGGATGAAAGCCATAATTCAAGAAAAAGGGGCTAGAACGAGTAGAATCACAAACGAGATTGTTGTGTGCAAACTCTGCCCAAGGAATCAGACCAACCCAATCGTCCTGGTGTTCAGAAACAAAACAACGCAAATATTGTTCAATCTTTTGGTTGGTGCGTTCGGCAGCTCCGTTGGACTGGGGATGATAGGCAGAGGAGAAGTTCAACTTGATGCCTAAGTGAGAACAGAAAGACTTCCAAAAGCGGGAAACAAATTGGGAACCTCTATCAGAAACAATTTCAGAGGGAATACCATGTAGACGAAAAATCTCCCTCGCGAATATCTCAGCTAATTCGGGAGACGAGGGCAGTTTAGGCAAGGGCACGAAATGAGCCATTTTAGTAAACCTGTCAATCACCGTGAGAATAACAGTATGTTTTTTAGAAACAGGCAAATCGACAATGAAATCCATAGCCAAACACGACCATGGTCTCTCGGGAATTTCTAAGGGATGCAAAAGTCCACAAGGGAGCGAGTGAGGTTGCTTAGTCTTCATACAGACAGCACATGCCCTGACGAAATCCCTTATATCCTTACGAAGGGAAGGCCACCAGAAATCTTTAGAAATCAGGGAACACGTTTTGCGTGTGCCGGGGTGCCCAGCAATTTTACTGTCATGAAAGCAATGCAGCAGTTCCACTTGGAGCTCAGGAGGAACGAAGTATCGATCCCCAGGAACAGGTTTGGGAGCTAGATGTTGTACTTTCTTGATCTCAGCAAGCAACGGCGAGTGTATCCTGACACAAGTGTTGGCAATAATATTACACTTAGGAACGATAGAAGACAAAGCTGCTTCAGACACCGTAGAGGGTTCATGTTGACGGGACAATGCATCTGCCTTAGAGTTCTTAGAACCAGGTCTATAAGTGAGCACGAAATTGAAATGTGTCAGAAACAAGGACCAACGAGCTTGCCTGGCGGACAAGCGCTTGGCCTCCCCTATGTAGGACAAATTCTTGTGATCAGTCAAAATAGTAACCGGGTATAATGTCCCCTCCAACAAATGTCTCCATTCCTTTAAAGCCATAATGACCGCTAACAGTTCCCTATCACCAATGTCATATCTACTTTCAGGCCCAGATAATTTCTTGGAAAAAAAACCACAAGGATGTAACGGTTTATCCAAGCCTAGCCTTTGGGACAAGATAGCACCTATACCTGTCTCCGAGGCGTCAACCTCGAGTAAAAAAGGC